AGAGGCGGGGGTCACCTGAAATTCATTCCCCCCGCCACTTCCCCCACTTCTGCTGTGGGGCAATCGGTGGCAGAGGGTCAGGTGGTAGGTGAGTGAAATGGCCTGATATCTGCCCCCTGCTGCCAGCTCCACCAACCTCTGCCTCTAGGCCTGCCCTTCTACCACCACCTCTGGCCCCACTCTGCAGCCTATGCCCCTTTGGCACATTTGCTCCAGCCCCAGCCCAGCCATGCAGTAGTGGCAGTGCCCAGGATGAGGCTGGAGCAACCATGTGTTCTGTGCCCCAGGCTGGAGAAGGGCCAGAGCTGGGGCTGGAGCCAAAGGGTAAGCAGTGTTAGCACCAGCTGGGGGAGTGGCAGAGGAGACAGGAGTGGGAAAGAGGCTGGGAGGGGAGGGGTGGGGGACAGTGGATGCAGGGGGGTAGCAGCAGCTGTGGCTCTGACTCTGACCCTGACCCAACCTCAACCCTAGACCAGAGTCTGAGCTGCAGCAGCTCCCTGACCCCTGACTTATACTCAAATACAAGTCAGGAGGCTCCCCCCATGTTAAAATTTGGGTGAGAGGGAGATGGGACTCATCTTGGATTCAAGTAAATATGGTAAGATTTTCAGAAGCAAGAGAGAATGAAGATCCAGTTCAGAGAACCATAGAATCATAGAGAAGTAGGACTGGAAGGGACCTCCAGAGGTCATCTAATCCTTTTAAAATTATATGGCCTCATATTGCTAGGGTTAATTCTGCACATGATGTTGGTCTCTACCTGAAATAGCTTTCCGTTGGATCAGGTTGGGCACGTCCAGCTGTGGGAGCTGAGAGTATCTGCTTACATCCACGGCTTCAGTCACTGCAGGCAGAGCCACTGCCTCAATTCTGACGGGCTAAAAACCAAAGCAAAAAGTACAGTAAGCACTATGTAAATTTGTCTGCTCCCCTGACTCTGTGCTTTCCTTCCTTGCCGTGGCTTATTAATCACAACTGCTGTTTTGTCTTTACTGCATTTAAATAACAAGGCCTAACCTGATACCCACTGGTTGAGTTACTAATAATGCTACAGCAGATGAGAAAAATATGTCTGTCTGTCCTTTTATATTTTTTTTTATCATGAGTGTTCTCCTCAGAGCAGATATAGTGGTATCTGAGGGCTTGACTGTACATTACAGCTGTTTTGGTGTGCTTGGGAACACTGCTGGTCTTGTGGGGATATGTATGGTGGTCTATGGGGGTTTTTTGCATATGGCAGTTTGTAGGGTGCCATCCTGAATGTGGACCATGCTATGTACAAAGTTGATGTTAGAGTAGAAGTATTCTAGAAGAAGTTTGATCAAGGAGTGAGTGTTGTTAAACCAGTGGTTAAAGTCAATAAGCGAGACCAGGTGTTCAGTTCAAATGGTGAAAAGATCATTTGTGTAATGCAGGTGTAGTGCAGGTTTGATGCTGCAGTTTTCTGGAAATGCTTTTTTTTTTTGGCCCATAGCTGTGCCCATGGTTTGGAGGAAGTGTTGATTGTTGAAAGTGAAGTTGTGGGTGAGGATGATTTTTTTCAACATGCTGTTGCATATGTGTTATATGCTCCATGTTCTTGTAGGTATTTCAAGCAGGCAGCTGTGGTTTCATGGTGTTGGATGACAGTGTACAGGCTGGTGATAGGTGATACCCATGGTTGCAAATATGGCCTTCTCAGGAGTGGTTTGTGTTCTGGATTCTGTTGAGGAAGTCTTGTGGTGTCATGAAAAGAAAAAGTTTTCTCCAAGACAAGTGGTTTCTGGGTAGTTTTTATGAATCCTGATAGCTCTTCAGTGAAGGTATCATAGTTGAATATGACAGGTGTGCCACAGTTACTTTTTGTTTGGATTTTGGGGAGCACATGAAAAGTTCCTGGGATAGGAGAGTTAAGGATAAGTAGAAATAGTTTTTTCTGAAGCTGGGATGGGAAGGATATAATATTTTCCAGTCCCAGAGCAAATGCTGGTATGGGGTCCTCCCTAAGTTCTTTAATACTACATATACCCCTGGTGGTCACCTATGACTCTACTCTGGAACCAATTAGAAGAATCATCAAACAGCTACAACTTATACTTAACAAAGATCAGACCTTGAGAGAAATATTCCCAGTGCCTCTTGCTCCCAGCTTTCAAAAAACCTCTGAACTTTGCCCAAATTGTCACCTGAAGCAAACTGCCTAGTGCTCAACAGACATTAATAATAGGTGGTTAATCTGTCAACACATCCCTACTGCTACTACAATTACCACTTCCCACAACAAGCCTATTGGAATCTACAGAATACAAAATGTGAAATATCTGATCCAATGTACCAAATGCCTTCCTGGTAACTATGCGACTGAAACTAAATAGCTACTCATGAAACAAAATGAACTCTTACAAAAAACAAATATAAAGGATGGAGATACATATATGTCAGTAGGAACACACTTTTCACAGAATAACCACTTGCTTTCTGACCTCACTATCCTCATGCTCAAGGGAAATTTACCAAACGGCTTTAAAAGGTGAATTCAGGAATATTCATAAGTTGGCTAGACACTAGGAACCAAGGACTGAACAATTGATACTGATTTTATAACACACTTGATTCCTGAAATTCTTTCTATACCTGACAGGTCTTCTTCTCATGTCTCTGCACCACACTTGACCATGTTGTTACACATGGTTGTACTCATCTATTGTATTTTGCAAGATCTTTCATTTCATAGACATTAGGGGCTGGAAGGGACCTCAGGAGATCATTGGGTCCAGCCCCGCCGCCATAGGTGGGAAAGTACATGGCACTCTAGAGGGGGTAATATATATCAAACAGACTTTGTGTATTTGTGCATGTGTATAGACTTTATTGAAATTCTTGTAGTTTGCTGTGTACATGTGTCTTCAAGCAGTGGGCATTGCAGCAGGTGTTGCATAGTCTGAGGCTCTTTGTCTCAGTTGCGGGTAGTGAACCAGTGGTATAGCCCCACTTCTTCATTAGTTCCTTGGAACATCCAAGTCTGGTATGTAGGTGGTTGAAACATTGCCATTTTTGCCCTGGTTCATCAGCCCCTGGTGGTAAGGACTGAGCTGCTGGAATGTACATTTTTTCACTGTCAAGTATTTTCTTCAGTCTCTTGTTTCACATCTGTAGTCATGTCTCCTTGGGTATGGCATCAAAAAATTGGGTGCTTGTAAGTAAGCTCCTGTATGACTTCAGATGTGTCTGTTGAAGGATGGTTCTACACAACAGGTAACAATGATCCTCATCCCTTTTGATCACCCAGAATTCAAGCTTCTTTTCTTCTACTAATTATTTATCTGCTACCCCTGAGAATTTCTGCCCCTCAAATTTCACAGCTGGACCTACTGTTCTTAAAAATTGTCATGCTTGCTTTCCTCCTCAGACCTGAAGAAGAATATTTTGCATTCAAAAGCTTGTCTGACTTTATCTTGACAATACAGTTGGTCCAATAAAAGATATATGATCCAAAAAATCCTTACCTCTGGAATATTTATTTGACTGTTTTTATTTGTGCCATGTAGGACTGAGTCAAAAAACTTATGGAATATTAAATATATCATGTCAACACAATTATCTTTATCAACCAAATTTTTACTTTTGCAAGAGATGATATCAAATGTATTTTATAATACCTCTATTCCATAAAATCGGGTTTAATTATTTCCATAAAATCAGGTTTAATTATTAGTTATCAGAGTGGTCTGGGTGACTTGCTAAGATGGACACAGCAAACTACATGAATTTCAATAAAGTCTATACATATACACAAATACACAAAGCATGTTTGATATATATTACCTCCTCTAGAGTGCCAATGTAACTAAGGAACGCTCTTTCATTTTGTCAATCTCTATGAAGGCAGTGTGGTACAGAGCTCTCTCCCATACCTCTTTGATTCTAGGGAGGCAGGGAAAACTGTTCCATCCCTGACCACATGCAAGTGCGATTTCAGAATGGCAGGGTCCATGGCTCTTTTCTTGCCCACAAGCCAGAGCAATGTCAGGATCACAAGATGACTTCTTCTCTTCCTGCTCAGAGGCTAGTTGTTTTCCAGAAGGACAGGAAAGACTTTTCCACCCATGGCCGCATGCCAAACGAATACCAGGATGGCAAGGGATGAAGTTGTTCTTCTCACAAAATGATAAGGAGTCACCAGTATCTGTGTTCATCAGTAATTGTTGTTCCTTTGCTGGAACAAGTCTTGATAAGGGGGGGGTTGATTCAGGTGCTGGTATAGGGAAGTACATTCCAACCTGTGCTTTTTGGTAGGGAACAAATCCTGTAAAACAAAACAAAAAAAATTAATATGTATATATGTGTAAATGTGAACAATCAGAGGAATAAGAAGGCATTCATGTCAAGGGAGGAAAGGTTTGACATGCAGACCTCTGTGTACTAGAGAGAAGAAGCAGTCCCATTGTTAACTGGCTAATAGAGTCAAGTACAAGTATTAATTATACCCAGATAAGAAAGAGTTGCCTCACTTGCTGAACAACACTAAGCAGCCCTAGATTCCAAAGTACTACTTCATGGATATATGACTACACAAACATAAAAAGTGCCATACTGAGACAGACCAGTGGTCTATCTAGCCCAGTAATCTGTCCCCTACCATGGCAGGAGTGGATGCTAGAGAGAGAGCATTGAACCAGATAGAACAAGTGATCTATGACCTCTTAATTACCCTCTCAGGAATCCAGCAGTATTGTTTTAGAGTTGCCAACAGCTATTTAATAATTCTCACTGCCTGTGACAGAGGTGGCAGCAGCTCCTCGGGCCTCTGTGTGGCTCAGCCTGGGCACAACACAGGCAGGAGCTCAGCCATGGATCAAGCAGGGGAGCAGGGAAAGCCATGCTGGACACTGGAGGCAGATGCAGTCCCAGACTTGCTGGGCTGAGCCAAGCAGAGCCCCCAGGAGCTGCCACTGCCTCTCTCAGCATCCTGCCAGCAGGGAGGCTGGGGGCTTGCCTGGGGCAGAGGTGGGTGGAACAGGGAAAGCTGTATCAAGCAATGGGGCAGACGGAGTCTCAGCCTGCCTGCTATACCAGGTGGGAGCCCTAGTGTGGGCTTTTAAGGGCACCTGAATCCTGGGAGGGCAGCGAGGCATCCCACCACTGCAGGGCTGCATTGCTGGGCCACCAAACCTGTCCCAAGGGAGAGGCGCGGGGAAGCTACCAGCAGCTGCAGCACCAGCTGCCACTTTTTTCTTCCTGGTGGTGCCCACAGAAGGACACATCCCCGTGAGCTGGGCTCCTGTTGGTACAGCCAACATAGCATCAAGACGCCTACATGTGAGTTACAGTGCCTTAACTAACTGGGCCTAAATTTGATACTTGCTTCATGCAGGTATCAAATTTAGTCCCAGATTGCCCTAAGTCAGTGCGTTTAGGGCACATTAAGGATGTGCACATGTAAACCTGCCCTTAGTACACCTTAAATATGGTGACTAACGCAATGTAAATCACCTTAGGTCTTCTTGAGGGTGCACATGTAGACACACCCACATTAAACTAGGATGATTACATGACTAATGGCATTAGCTTTTGATTATTTTGATTGTTTTAAAACATATATAAGCTTAGCAAATGTATGCCATTCCAATAATTATATTTGTTTTGTTCTTAAACTGAATAATATAGTACTAATTCCCTAGCATAATAGTAAGGTTTCTAGATTCTCTTTAATTAGAGAAAAAGTGTATTGTGTTGTATATGATGATGTGTCACACCATTTTCCACCTCCCATTTCAAAATCTTAGATTCACCCATAGGCCAGAATCCTATTTTACTGCAAGTGCTTAAATGGGCAGTTTTCTAGTAGTTTAACTTTGAGGATTTATACAGCATGTATGTTTCTATTTCTTGTGCAGTGTAGATGCATAGCAACAGACAGTAGCAAGGAATGCCTTGAAGATAAAGTTATAAAGAATAAAGGAGTATTCTAGACTGAGGTTAATTCTCACAGTATGAAGCATGCCTGAGAGAGGAAGGTTCTGAGCACTAAATCAGATAGTAATAAACATTTTGATATCACAGGCATGTAGCTCTTAAACCTGTTCCTGGAACACAGCAGGTCCTGTCCTTCAGTACCACAAAGAAACATGATTGTATCATACATCAGAACTAGCAAACTTTTGCCCTTACTCAGGTGATATCACACTATTGCATAATTCGATAGTGAGCTGCTATAAAGCTTTATACTCATAATACCCCCCTCCCCCACCCCCCCACGCGTGCGCACACACACACACCCACACACACCCCTTTGTCACTACAGGAAAAGCAAATAAAAAACAATTCTCCCATGCCAAGAAGAATATGGAAGAAAAACTTCTATTGGGTCCTGGTGGACCCGCTGATGCAAAATGAGGTTCAGATCTGTTCGAAAGCATCATGTATGCTCCCTGAAGAGAACTACTATTCAAGAGGGGTTTAAGCTGAATGCCAAGGGTGTATTCAAAATCCTACAAGTAGGCATCTATGTGAGCCCTTATCAAAAGAGAAGAAAATACTTCATTTTACAGTTACTTGGCAAATAAGAGAGTGAGAACATTCATGTTGTCAGCTTTCAGAGACAAGAGACTGAGGGGCCACATCCATACTGAACAAGGAAACAATACATGAATGCAACCATTCCCCTTTCCTATGTCAAAGCTATGACTTTTCCACTAAAGTATGTTACACTTTTTCCAAAGTAGTTCATATATTGTGAATACAGACCTGTAGCAGGACCTGGCCCCAGGGTCAGCTGCAACACCCCGTGGTGGCCAAATGACAACAGCCTTGCTCTGGATTTAAGGTACCCTCCCTTTATCTTTCACTTGCCATGCCTTGATGTAATTGATTTTTAAAGGGAAGCTGCCTAATGGTCCTATAGCCAGCTCCAATCTTACAGTCTACCAGCAGATCCCTTCCCTGAATTCCACTAGCTTCAAATCCTGTTCTCATGCAAAATGGGCCTCCATGGCCCATACATGCCCCCAGGGCACCTTTTGCCTTACAGACTATTCATGGCCTCCTAACCTTCCCTACAGCCATCTCCATGCCTCATAGATGTTAACAGTTATCAGTTAGCTGGAGTAATTTGCCCCAAGCCACTACCAGGACACCCAAGGCCTTTACTCCCTTGTTGGAGCCTTGGCCTTCCCGGCCTCTGCCCCTTTCCTCTGTCTGTGCCCTTTGCCTACGTCCACTGCCCCAGACCTGGCTTTTGGGCTTCAGGCCCCATCTCACCTTCTCAGGGTCTGGGCCCCTTGGCCCTGGTCTCTACCCTTCCCAGGCACTGGGCCCCTGGTCCTTTCTGGCTTCCATCCGAGCTGGGCTTCAGCCCCTCTCTGGGCTTACACCCCCTTTGGCTTAAGCCTGATCTCTATCCAGAGCCCCTGCCCTGGCAGGGCTCCAAAACACTGGTGTGCCCCTGGCACCCTGCTGTGGTTAACCACAATATGTTCCTCAGGTGCTCCACTATATGTTAACTGCAATGCATGCCTTTGGCTCCCTGACTACAGCCACATACACAGTCTACTGGTCAAAACTCAAACCAAAACCATAAGTCCCCTGGCGATAACTAAACTCTTAACCCAACTGGCTGTATACCAACACCTTCTCATCTGGATCTAAGTCCCCTGCCAGCCCTCAGCCCTAACAGACTCTCGATTAGTCACCCAGAAACTGGCATCTCTCTTTCCCCAGTTGCCCCTAGAGACAGAGTACCTGCCTGGCTCAGTCCTGAGCTTATATTCTAGGCCCTGCCCCTTTCTAGTTAGGTGGCCTCCACAGCTACCCACAGGTGTTTTCTGATTAGGCTGGCTGGCTTCAACCCAGGGTAGCCTACTGTTGCTGCCTAGCCACTGTAGAAGTGTTTTGTCTCCCCTGCTGCACTATTGCAAGTTAACCAGCTTGATGATACGCCCTCCTGGCTTCTCTTTTTTCCCCTGGCTGGCTGTTTAGCTCCTCCTACTGCTCTTTCCTCCTTAAGTAACAGGAGCCTTCTGCCCCTCTGTTACAAGACCCCACCTATTTGTAACTTCAGCGAGCTAAGGAGGATAGTTGGAGAAGCGCTGAGGTCCCGGAAGAGAGGGGAGCCAGGTGTCCAAGAAGAGTGGTCGCTCCTTAAGGAGACGATCCTCCAAGCCCAAAGGAAGGTAATCCCAATGAGGATCAAAGGGAGCAGGAGAGCACACAAGCCTCCATGGCTCACCAAAAGCATCCGGGAATGTCTCCTTGCTAAAAAGGAGGCTTACACCCAATGGAAAGAAGGGGTCATCACCAGGGAGGACTATTCTGCAGTTGCTCGGGGATGTAGGGGGGTAGTTAGGAAGGCCAAGGCAGAGATGGAATTAGGACTAGCTTCCCAGATTAAGGACAATAAGAAGTCCTTTTTTAAATACATAGGGGGCAAAAAGAAGGTCC